TTACGACTTTTTGGCAACGTCATAACTGAACTTTTTAATCAAACAGATAATATTTAAAAAAAACATTTATAACATTCGTCTATTATCAGTAATGTACATGCTACTCGTGTTACTACCGATTACTATACACAAAAGGGTTTATGAAGATACTCACAGATAGCGGTTGAATCCTTTGTACACTGAGCAAGCGCAAACTCACAATGGTTTGGTATAATCGTGAAGAACGATTCAGTTAAACGATACTTTTCGCGCCGTGAACATCAATGAATGTCAATAAAGGTAGAATATATCTTGGAAGAGAAATAGCAAAAATGTTTGCACTGTGATATTCTTTAAAAATATAATCTCATTGTACAAAATAGTTGTGTAATATAGTACAGCATATAAAAATCAAGTTTTCAATCATACAAGCATTAATAAAAACTTTTCGTTCTGATTTTAATTTTAAAACTTTCGAAAAGTTTAATTATTATTAAATTACTATTTGTGCGATAACAAGTTAATGAAAGGTAGAAAGGCTTGTATTACCAAATAATTTATTTCATGTATGAATGATATTATTATTGATAATTATGTTTAATTTTCAATATTTTCTTAATTTTATTCTAATTCTACTGCTCTATCGCATATTATTTTATTTTTATTTTATTAACATTATAAAAAATATTTATTCTTTTGAAGTAACTTATATCCAGTTTGGCATAAAATATGTTATTAAACGTATTTATATTTACATATTTAATAAGAAAGTAAGCACAAACTCTTCAAAACTAACGGCGGCTTATTAACAAAAAAAAATATTTTAATAATTTGTTGCAAAAACTCGCAAAAAAGAATCATAGTTTTTTGCAAAGAGTCTATACATAGACCTCTTATAAAAGTTTAGAATTTTGGTCCATGAAAGCTTGCGAGAATAGGAATAAAACTTTATTGTTACGTTTCGTTTTCGACATATAAATTTAGTGTTTTTGAGTGGTAAAGTTAATCATGGTGCATAAAGCAAATAGTTGTGCATAAATCGTTTTTTGTTTGTAAAATTATATGTATTATTTGTCCAGTTTGCCTATTATTTATCGTTTTACTATTCGTTGCTATGTTCATAAGTCTAGAGAAGTGTTAGCTACATTCTACAATTATTTATTACAAATTATACAAGAAATAATATAAATAAAGTGTGAATCCTTTCTCTCTCTTCTATGAGTGCTATAAGTGGATACAAAAAGTTAAATAACTTCTAAATTAGCTAATAAGAGTAAATACTTTTATCAAAAAATATTAGAAAGCAACATAACAAGTTAATATCTATTCTAAGTTAACATTAAACAATGATATTTGTTCTAAAATTTGATTTTATTAGATTTGAATTACGCGTTTACTCTGAGTCGCAAATGGCTGTGGTTGTTTGGCATATGGCCCGATCCCGATATCCCTTTGAGTGAGTTTCGTCGACCAAGCATAAGATTCATTATTGTTACGTGTACTGTGTTCCTATACGTATCCGCGCCTCAAATGATGAATGTGATCCGCGCTTGGGGTGACGTGTCTCGGATGGTGGAAAATTTTGCCTCCGCGAATTTCAGTTTCTTGGCAGCATGCAAATTGGTCGTTACCTGGTATCACGGCGAAAGTGAGTTTACTTTTCGCGACAATATGAATATTGTGTAGATTTATTTGTATCGTCCATGATATAAAATGTCAAAGTTATATCTCCATTACTTAAGCACAAAATAATCGGATTCGATAGTTTTTCTATAAAGAAATTTGTTTGCTTTAATTTTCGGTACATCGATACGTTGTATTCGAAGCACTGCGGCCGCTGGTGGCATCGATCATGTCCGATTGGATGACTTCGACGAACAATTGGGAACGAAATACCATGTTGAAGATTGCGAGACGTGGCAGAAGCTTATCCTTCAGATGTTGCATGGCCGCAGTAGGCACGATTATATTTTACCTTTCTTTCCATTTGATAAGATTCTTTAAAACTATACACCAACCTCGACGGCATCTCGTTTATCGGCTCGAAAATATCCAAAGAAGTCCGATTTACGAAATCCTCTATTTTATTCAACTATCCGGCGGCACATATTCAGTTCTCGCTAACTACTCCGTCGACAGCTTTGTCTCGATACTCGTGCTACATGTGTGCGCGCAACTGATAAATCTGCGGACGACACTTGACAATCTGGTTAACGAATTAGCCAGTAAATCTATATCTTCGTCGAGATTTAGAGAAGGTTTAATCGCGATCGTTGTACGACACGAGCATCTCATCAGGTACGTCGAAGAAATTCCGCACTATTTACTAGGCAGTGTAAAGCATTTAAGCATTCTTTGATAACAGATTATTTTTTAAATAAATTTGAAAATAAAGTCTTACTTTCTCTCTCTTTCACATAATAAGAAATAAAGAAGAAATATATACAACACATAATTAAATAAAAATATTTGTTGGTTAATTTTTTCTTTTTAAAAATGTATCTTGCTTTTAAACAGCAACAGAAAATTTGAAATTATTGGACTTAAAAATGAACAAAACGACACAAAAAGAAAATGGACAATATAAAAAATATAAATCATTAATTCAATGAATCAAATTGAATCATAAACTCTATAATAGATTTAAAATATAAATTCTAAGCTAAATCTTCTTTAAGATTTATACATTAATATTCAAGTAATAAGTCGTTAAACACATAACAAATAAATAATTTGTACTAATTTTCAAGGAACGCTAAGACAATCGACGGCTGCTACAGCTCAGTGTTATTTGTGCACGTGTTTGCCGCTACTTTTCAGATGTGTTTTATAACTTTTCAGGTTTTCACGGTAAGTGGGATCATTTATATTTTTTTCCTGCGTATTTTATAAAGAACTAAATTATAATTATAAATATATTGTATCTATTATATATTATATTATGCAATATTATATTATGCAATATTATGCAATATATTGATATTACATTTCTGATTATACTTTTCTTATTATACATATAATAACATAATACGTTGCGTTAGATTTGTACTGCGCATTGTTTTATCAACCATTGAAATGTATTTTTTCCAGATAATAACAGATACCTTGAAAGTACCTGTTGTCAGAGTAATTTTTCTTTCGTTTTACATCGCCCTTGTGCTGACGAATATGTATATATATTGCTACTCAGCTGAAAGACTTATGACGGAGGTAAAATATATTACATATTAACGCGATCTGGGTGGGACGTCGATCATGAATCTTTTCTCCTTACATGAAAACGTGATATTGTGAAAAGTAAAAAATTTTGTTAAATTTGTAAAAAAATAGAAATTTTACTTTAAGTCGTTAAAAATGGCTGTTACATGATGGGTTACTTTCAACGAGAAAAACAAAAATAAAAATAATAAGCTATAGTACAGTCATTTGGTAATTTTACCTGGAAAGTTTTCCGGGAGTTTTGAAAATGGCTAATTTTATATATTTCGATGTGCTCTTTCCGAATTTCAACTTTGCCACCTCGTATCTTTGCCGCTCGTGCCGCCATATTGGAAAAATGACGCCTAAAAACAGTTTTTTGACAATATCTCCTTTCCGACTCATTCCACGATAAAAACATTGATATACAAAATAAAACTAGAGAAAATTTCCTACAATTTATGTAATAATCTTTTTTTCCGTAAAATTAATAGTTTTGGCGTACGAGCGCCGTAAAGTGTAGTTCAACACGCGTTTTGGCCTAAAAACTCATTTCCACACCACCTTGAAGTAGAGTAAGCGGCGCGTTTTTTTTACCGTGGTATCCTCAGTAGGCCTAGTCCACATGCAATTCACTATTCTAAAATTTAGCGTATTCTTCTTCGCTTCGCTGTTCTTGATGGACCAGGTGTTGCGAGTTCATCGTCATTAGTACTGATCGAAACATCACAGACCGAAATTGCTTCCACATCATCCGCGATGGGATTATCATTTTCATCGTAATCTTCTTCGTTCTCGATTTTGTCATATACGTTTGCACGAAAATAGTCTCCGTTTCTTCCTCTTCGTCGTTATCTTGTAATGGAACTTGCGAGTTATCACAGGTACCACTACAATTCGTGCATATAACGGAGCACT